AGGTCTGAGACCTGTGGGGCTACACCCAGCAGCAGGCAGCTGCCTCCCGTTGCCAGGGCTCTATGGATTCCATCAGTGCTCCTCTCTGCAACTTCCTCATCCTCTGCTATCTTAGGAAAATGGGGTCTGCTTTTCCGGTTTGAGTCTTACAGTTTGGAACCCACCCTGCATCCCAGTGGCAAACCCTGCGTGTGTCTACAGCTTCCCCACTGGGTGCTCACTGTTTCTCTTCTACTGTGACTCTCAAAGCCTCCCCTTCCGTGGCCAGCTCAGAAGCACATGCTCAGAACCCAGGAGTCAGATGCCCAGATGGCTTCATTGCAGACGCTGTGTCTGTGACCTTCCACCCAGCCGGGGCTGTGTGTCCAGATGCTCCCATTGACTTGCCAGGCATAGGGGCCAGAGGACAAACGGGAAGAGAAGCAAAATCTGCCTGCTCAGGCCTCTTGGTCTTGGGTAACAAGGAAATTGTCAATGATGCTACCAGCCCCAGTGCCCCCGCCCCCGGCTATGCCCATCAGCACCCTGGTGAATCCATGAGATGTACCCATGCCTGTAACAAACCAGCAGTACCCAAGAACCCAGGCATTCTTATTGAAGGCTAGGAGCAGAGTCTGGGGGAGGAACCCGGCATAGCTAACAGTGGCTCGGTGCTCCTGGAGGCAGCTGCCTCTGCCTTTTCGCCATGGACAGCTCCAAGTCCTGTGGATTCCAGTGTTTGGGGTAGGTGGAGTCAACCCACATAGGGAAGGTGAAACTGCTCTCTTCAAATAGAGAAAGAGATAAAGAAGACCTGAGATCTGGCCTTGACCATGGCCAGGCACTGCTCCAGCCCCCTCCTGCCCCCCCCCCCCCCCCCGACCAACTGGACAGGCGGGCTGAGGTGTGAACACTGGGGATTTTCCTTCCTCTCCCTCCTTCCCCCTTTCCCTTTGTTCTGTTCTTTCTCTGCCAGCTTTTGGGTTAGCTTCTAGATGACTCATGGGAGGTGTTCTAGGGCCCGCTTCCCTGGGCAAAGAAGCAATGGGGGAAGGGACAAGGGACAGGTGAGTGCACACCTCTGGAGGGGCCCAGGGAGCTCCTGGCAGCAGGCCCAGCTCCTAGCAGCTGTGCCAGGCCTGAGGGGGCAGTGAGCTGAGCAGGTCAGACAGGTGGAGCCTGCCGGCCTGGCTGCCCATCCCCAGCAGCCCAGGGCCTCTGCTGGCTTACTGAAGAGAGAACTACCCTTTTCTTTCCTCTGCCTTAGCTCCCTGGCCCCTTCAGGAACCATTTATAGCATCTGAACAGGATGTTGGGGGGGGGGGGGATGGACCATGAATTTGCTTGGAGAGACGCTGGTTGAGTTCAAGTGTGGACAGTGGTCTCGGCCTTGGAGAGGCACTTCTGGTTTCCAGGCCCTCGGTTCTGATGCAGATGTCACAAGGAGCCCGAATGTTGAGTGACAAATTGAGGCCACAGGTCTGGAAGCCTTAGGGAGAGTCTCTGGGAGAGAACTCATGGGCGTGTTATTGGGTGGTGTGGCCTTTTCCTTCTGTGGGGGCTGCCTCTGCTCAGAGCCAGTACCTGGCTTTGTGGGGTGACCCTCTTGGGTTCCTGTGGGGGGAAGGGCTAGACTTCCTCAAACACAAACATAAATTACAGACCCTTACTGGGGTGGATCCTCCTTTGCCATTGTTTCAGGTGGTGGTATCCCCTCTTCTGTGACTCCACTCTCTCCTCGCTGAAGGCCGAACCTCAGCCGATCCTGCTTCTCCAGACAGTGTCTGGTGATGTCCGGCTGAGGATGGGGGTGGGGGTTAGCTTCAATAGAAAGCTAGCCCCTGGTGCCTCCCCCCAGGAGCAATGGCCGTGTCTCCTGGGAATCCTGCACTGGGACTGTGTTGATGGTCTCTCAGCGGCTCACATCCTCTTTGCCAGTCTTGTGGGGCATCCGCAGGCCAAGCTGTGAGGGAGAACAGCCTCTTTGATGTAATATGTAACACTAAAAACAGGCGTTGGGCTTTGTGTTGTTATTTGATGAGTTGCCATTTTTCTAAATTCTTTTGAGGACAGGGTCCTACTTTGTAGCTCAGGCTGGTTTGGAACTCACTCAGTAGCCTAGGCTAGCCTTGAGCTTGTGATAGCCTTCCTGTCTCAGTCTCCCAGGAGTCCGAATCAGAGGTGTGCAGAACTGTCAGCGCGTGCAGAGATGATCACACCTTTCCGAGCATAGTCATGCTGTAGACAGGGACAGCGGCGGGTTTTGTGTTTTGTTTTGTTCTGCTAGCCGAGCTCTCTGTGATGAAGCTTTGCTGACCAAGTGGTCTATCTTGTTAGGTTTGGGGTTTTTTTTGAAGTGGGGTTCAAACTGGTCGATCCTCCTGCTTTAGCCTCCAAAATAGCTGCATGGCAAGTAGGCAGGTGTCATCATTGTCCTCGCTATAAACCAGTCTCTCTCTCACCCCCCACCCCCCACCGAAGGCCTCAGAAGTGCTAGCTCAGTCACTGAACCACACTCCCAGCCTACACATGAATTTCATAAAACGAGGCCCAAAAGTAGGGCAACTTTGTGATGGCTTCCTCGAGACATCTTCAGTTCCATCCTCTACTCCTGCCGGCCCCACCTCGCCCAGGTCTGTTTTCTCTCTGTCGATAGGTCTCTCTTTCCCCAAAGTCCAAAGACTTTTCATACATCTCCTTGGCTAGAATTACATTTCACAGGTGCTCCCACAGTTCTCTGACTAGTGTGAGTGCGGGTACAGAGGCAGTCGAGAAGGTGCGGATCTGCCAGGGCTTCGGCTACTGGTGGTTGTAAACTGCTTGACATCAGAGCTGGGAACCGAACTTGGGTCCTCTAAGAAGAGCAGCAAATGCCCTTAACCACTGAGCCCTTGCATTTTGTTTTTTAATTAGCTGTTTAGGTCTTTGCTCAGGACACATTGTCCCTATGTGTCTTTCTGTTCTATTCTCATTCTCTCCCCTCCCCAGCTCCCCCAGCTCTTGGTTTCCCTCCCTTCCCCAGCCAGCCCCTTCTGCTTTCCTGCATTGCGTGCTCCATGGCTACCTCTATTTCTCCCTTAAGATCTCTTCCTCCCTTACGATCCCCTTCCCAGCTTTGGGGACCCCCTCCCCCAACACACACAGACAGACAGATAGATGTATTTTAAAGATAGGTTCTACACCTACAAAGCATACAGGGCTTGTCTGTGTCTGGCTGGTCTTGCTTACTGATTTTCAGTTGCATCCCTATTCCTGCCAACGTCATGATTTCGTCTTTCCTGATGGCTGCACGAAATCATTCTGTAAAGCCAGGTGTAGGCCAGCACCTTTAATCCAGGACTCGGGAGGTAGGCAGGAGGAGCTGCGACTCTGATCTCTCTGGTTTCTTTTTCCATCTTTCTCTTTCTTTCCTTTCTTCTCTTCTCTCTCTCTCTCTCTCTCTCTCTCTCTCTCTCTCTCTCTTTCTTATTATTATTCTTTGGTCTTCCAAGACAGGGTTTCTCTGTATAGCCTTGGCTGTCCTGGAACTCACTCTGTAGACCACATTTTCTTTATCCATTTATTTCTCTCTGCATGGACATCTATTCTGGCCCCTCTGCCCACTGTGAATGGGCAGGAATGACCGTGGATGTGCAAATGTCTCTCTGGTAGGGTACAGTCCTTTGGGCAATACCCTCTGGGTATGGATCTGGGTCACATGGACCTCTATTTTTAGCTTTTTGAGGAACCTCCATACTGATTTCCATAGTGTCAGCTCCCTCTTCATATGATATTCAAGCAGCATGGCCTATTCTTACTCTTCCACTGTGCAGAGAGACCTTTCCCTCTTCCTCTCCTTTCTCCTCCTCCCTCCTTTCCTTTGCTTCTGCTTTCCCTTTGAACAACCATCCAGTGTTGGCTGCTTAGTACTCCGCCTCTAAGACCCAGCAAGGGCTGAGGCTGGAGAGCTGGCTCAGTGGTTAAGAGCTCTTGTTGCTCTTGCACAGGACCTGGATTTGGTTCCCAAAACCCATATGGCAGCTTACAGCGATCTGTAAGTCCAGTTCCAGAGAGTCCAGGTCTTCTGGGCTCCCCAGAACTGCACGGACATGGTACACATACGTGCATGCAGGCAAAACACTCAATGCGCTAAAATGTTTGGAAAAGAGTCAGTAAAGGGAAACACAAAATCCTAAAGACTAAGGAGGTTGGCAACTGAGTGCCCAGCTCCCGTAGAGCAGGGGCCACAAGCTGATGGCTAGCAGCCCCAAAAGCCAGGAAGTCGTCTGCCATTTACCAGGGCCTGCCGTAGGGACCAGCGGAGTGGCAAGCATTCACCACCTTGCTCTTTTCTCCTGGGAAGCACAGACAGCTGTGCCTCCTTTGGGCAGCAGGCAATGGTGCCTCCTCAGAGGGCTCATTCCAGAGAGCAAACCTGAGGATATTTGTTGTTTCCATATGGGTCTCCTGGCCTGCCTGGAGCTCCCTGTGTAGCCCAGGTGTCCATGAACTTGCCTTGATCACCCTGCTCCCCAACCCCCGTCCTGAGTGCTGTCTCTATATGCACGGGTGTAGGGTCATTCACTGGAGCACAGGCAACCTCTCAAGGAACTGTATCCCTGAAGGACCTGATACCCCACCCCGCATCCTCAGGAGCCCCCCATTGCCAATAACTCATCAGCTGGGGGGGTCTTCATGAGCCCCTCCCCCGTCCATGCTGGGTTTTGGGTGGCTATCCTTGAACAGGACTTGTGAATGTAGTCACAGCCACTGAGTTCGTTTGTGTGTGCAATGACCCTGTTATGTCCTGCAGACACCATTTCGCCACCTCCGACTCTTACAGTCTTCTTGCCCCACCCCCTTCTGCGATGATCCCTGAGCCTGTGACATGGATGTCACGTTTAAGAGTTGAATACCCCACAACCTTATTCTCTGCACAGGGTCCAGTCATGTGTCTCTGTGTTAATTTCCATCGACTACAAAAAGCAGATTCTCTGATGGAGGTTGAAAGATTCACTAATCTGGGCCTTTTTTGTTTACAGTGCTGGTGATGAACCCCAAGGTTTCAAACCTGCCAAACAAGGGCTCCACCAACACATCGACTGCCCTGGCCCAGTCACTGGCTCTGAAGGCGGCCCGAAGGTCCTGGTCAATTTTTTGTGTAACTGAAGGCTGGAGCCCCAGGTGATCCACTCTAACGCTGGCCTAGGAGTGACTGTGGAGGACTCCAGCTTCCTGAGTCACGGCCTTGAAGTAAGGGTATCTTCTACCCTCTGACTGTGGGCTGGGCGTCATCTAATCGGTTAAGGAGTATATGAGGTTTCCCTGGAGAAGAATCACTTCCCATTGACCCCAGGTCAGCTCTTCAGGCCTGACCAGCCACACTGGTTATTTGGGTTTGGTTGGGGGAAGGTTGCTATTGTTTTGCGTTTGTTTGTTTGATTTTGGAGGGTAGGGGTGGGTAAGGTGGGATGGGTTCATGCACATGCCATAGCGTGTGTGTGTGTGTGTGTGTGTGTGTGTATGTGTGTGTGTGTGTGTGTGTGTGTGTGTAGGTCAGAGGACAGCTTACAGATGGGTTCTGGGAATCAAACTCAGGTCTTCATGTTTGGTATGAGTGCCCTTACCCCGCTGACCTATCTCACTGGCCCTGGTTAATGTGTATAAGTGCATCACCTGATAGATGTACGCTGTGTGTGTGCCTGGTGCCCCCAGAGGCCAGAAGAGGGCATCAGACTCCCTGTACCGCAGTCACAGATGGCTATGAGCTGCCACGTCGGGGCTCAAAGCTGAACCCAGGTCCTCTGCAAGAGCAGCAGGTGCTCTTAACCACCGAGCCTCCTGTTTGTGTTTCCTTTAGTCTGGCTGTATTGCCCAGACTGGTGTCGAACTCCTGAACTCAAAGGAACTTCCTGACTCAGCCTCCTAGAGGAAGCAGAAAGGAGTCTGACACCTGGTGCTGCTCGCCCTCAGGCTGAACTCAGACTAGTCAGTGTGTCCTGTGTGTGTGCTGGGACAGGGAGGAACTAGTACACCCTGCTGCTCAGCCTCCCCTTGCCCCCTGTGGCTGCATGCTGACTTCAAAGTGCTGGGGGAGCCTGTTGTGCTTTGCAGGATCTATTGCACACAGCTTTCTCCACAGCCTCCCCATCCATCCTCCTGCAACTTTGGGCCTGTTGGCGGATCTTCACTACCTGCCTCCTGTCCGCGGGTCCTCACTCCGTGCCGCCGTCCACAGACCACCAGCCTGGCCGGCCGGCTGTGAGTGCTTCTTTGGCAGTGTCTTAGCTGGTTGTTGTGAGTAATAGCGAAGGAAGCAATCAGCAAGTATACTGCCCTAGAAGTGCTGCGCGTTATCGGCCGAGAAGGAAGAAGGAGGTGAGAGAGGCCCAGATCTTCGAGAGGCGCCAGGACTTTGGAAGCCGGTGGGTAAGGGCGCTGAGGGGGGCTGGCTTCAGCACCCCAGGAGAAGCATGTTTAGGGATGTTGAGTGGCAGGAGGCGGCACAGGGACTGGGGTGTAAGCCATTTCTGGCTGAGAGACACTTGCATGCAGAGGTAAGAATTACAGCATTTATGGGGCATGTGTATTGTATGTTTATCCTCCTAGCCAAGCAGCTGCCATCTTGGGGAATTCAGCTGCACCCCCTTGCAAAAGGATTATTCCAGCTGGGCTTGTTGACTGTCTGCACTTCCACAGCTGAGGAGGGTCACAAGACCCTCACCTGGGTATCCACCTGCTCCCTTCCACCTGCTCTATGCAACTCCATGTTGGGTACACATGGCCTCAGGAAGGGGCTAGGCTCTATAGGCTGGGGAAGACTAGGGGAGCAGGCGGCCATTTGTGTGGCTACAGGGAAGTCCTCATCCCTGCTCGGGAAAGACTTCCCACCTGTGGCCTGTTGGGGAGACAACCCACACTTAGTGTCAGCGTCAGCAGCAGCAGTAGCGCCATCACCTGTCGCCAGGAGCCTTTCCTCCATCAGCTGTTCCTTCCACACGTGCACCCCTTAAAGGTGCTTGCTCTCTCTGTCTCTTTCTTCTCTTGCCTCTTGCTTTTCTTGTTTCTTGTTCCTCTTCCCTCTTCTCTACCTGCCTGTCTGCCTCACTCATGAGGTCCCCACTCCAACACAGCCTTTCGCTCTCCCCCTCCCCCAATAAACCTCTTGTACTAACTCTGTTGCACTTGGCGTGTTTGCTTAATTTGCTTACCTTGGTGAGGGCCTACCAAAAGGTACGCCATTTTTTTTTTTTTTTTTAGTTTTTCGAGACAGAGTTTCTCTGTAGCTTTGGAGCCTGTCCTGGCACTAGCTCTTGTAGACCAGGCTGGCCTCAAACTCACAGAGATCCGCCTGCCTCTGCCTTCCGAGTGCTGGGATTAAAGGCATGCGGCCACCACCGCCCGGCGTGCCATTTCTTTCTTGATCATTACACACACCCCTGTAAGTCTCCCCTCATCTATGTACCCAATGAACCTATTGGTTCCCAGAGTCAACGCTGGCACAGTCGTGCCTCAGTTTATCTCTGTGAGACCTTAGGAGGTGGGGGTAGATGTTTGCAGTAATAGACTAACCATGAAGTCCATGCTGAGGGTCTGCTGTGATCTGATATTTTTTTTCTTATTTTTTTTAATATTTATTATGTATACAATATTCTTTCTGCGTGTATGCCTGCAGACCAGAAGAGGGCACCAGACCTCATTACAGATGGTTGTGAGCCGCCATGTGGTTGCCGGGAATTGAACTCAGGACCTTTGGAAGAGCAGGCAATGCTCTTAACCACTGAGCCATCTCTCCAGCCCCTGTGATCTGATCTTACAGAGCATCCCAGAGCGTCTAAACAGGAAGGGTGGCTAAGGATGTGGGTCACAGTGCGGGACTGAGTATAGAACCTAAGCCTCCAGCTGTGTCCCTGGAGATGTCCGGGGCTCAGATCTGCCCTGCTGAATGAACCCACGTGGTCTCCTCTCATGGGCGTGCATATTCAAGATGCATCTCAGAAAACCTCCTTGAGTCAGGTGGCATGGCCTAGGCCGGCAATCCCAGCTTTTCTCTCAGAAGAGAAATCACTAGTTTAAGGTCAGCCTAAACTAGTGTGAAACCCTCAAAAATAAAAGGGGGGGGGTACCTGGTGCAAGTTTTTCTTTGCTGATGGCCTTGAGGCCCCTGGGGTAACCTCTGCCATTTGGGGTCTAACCTTAGACTGGACACCCTCTGAAGACAGCTACCCCTCTCATCTCTGTCTTTCTCTTATGTGTGTATGGGGAGGTGAGCATGTGCCGTGGCTCCTGGGTGGAGGTCAGAGGGTGGCTATATGAACAACGTAAGTTTTCTCCTTTCTCCTTTAGGTGGGTTCCAGACCAGTCGGCAGGCTGGTCAGGCTTGTGTGGCAAGAACCTTTACCCACCAAACCATCCCCCGTGGCTCTCTGGTTTCTAGAGGCAGGTCTCACTGCGTACCCCAAACCAACCCCATGGCTCTCTGGTTCTAAAGTTAGGCTGCAACTTGTCATGCAGACCAGGCTGGCCTCAAACTTGAAGCAATCCTCCTGTCTCAGCCTCCTGAGTGCTAGGATTGCAGGCACAGGTCATCAAGTGGGAGGTGTGCAGCCACACTCTTCGGCAAGCCCCTCTCCACAGGAATTGTTCTTGTCCCTAAAGAGACCTTTAGAGAGAGCGCCTTTGTAATGAGGCCTCTGGGTGGACAGTGCCCACCCCACCACACACGCCCTTAGCTCCCCAGCACTGGGGAACCAGGCGCGGGCTGAAGTGGGCCCTGCTGAAATGCCAGGAATGCCAGGCAATGAGGATGATGCTCGGAGTCCTCCAGGAGGAGGTTAGCCTGCAGCCACACAGGAAAGAGCCTCCGAGCACAAACTTCACATTTTTGCAGTTTTCCCGCAGAAGTCAAGAATGTCTGACCTCCCCCCTCCCCGCTGCCCAGCAATGGACTGGCCCAGGAACTTGTAAATTAAAGGGACCACACTCTAGTTTCTGGTGTGTATTATCTTGAATTCAAGTGAGGTCATTTTCAAGAAACTTTTTTTTCCAACCCAGCTTGGCTTTTATCTGTCAATAGAACAATAAGAAAAATTGTCCTTTTTAGGGAGAATTCACCTGTAAAAAAATGTCTGGATTGTTGGCCACCTTGACGTGAGCCTTTAATCACAGCCTCTGGGGGCAGAAGCAGGTGGATCTCTGTAAGTTCAAGGCCTGTCTGAACTGTGTATTGGAGCTCCAGGCCTGCCCGAGCTACAGAGTGAGACTCTGTCTAAATAAATAGGAAAGTTTCTTAAATGTCTAGATAATAAATTCAGAAATGGTAGCTTGGTGGGGCGGTTCATACCAGTAATTCCAACACTTGAGGGGGTGGAGGCAGGAGGCCAACTCAGAAAACAGGAAAAGTGGACCTGGGTAGTGGCTCCGTGGTTACTGTTTGTCCTGAGCACTTGGGTTCAATTGCCAGCACCCACATGGTGGTTCATCCGACACCCTCTTCTGGCCTCCATGAATATTGCATGCATGTGTGCAGGAAAAAACTCATGCACATAAAATCATAAAGTAGTCATTAAAAAGTTTTTTTTTAAAAAAATAACAGAAAAGTAATCTGCCAGTGTTAGTTTATTTAGTGCTGGTGTCGAGTCCAGGGCCTCGGTCGTGCTAAGTAGCTCTGCACCTTTCTGTGCAAAGTTCCCAGCCCCTGTACAGCATCTTTTTATTATTTTATTTATTTCTTTTTGGTGCCTGGAGGGAGGGAGCATTTTGAGACATAGTTGGTGCTGGTGTAAGAAGGTCACACTAGAGGAAGCTGGGCAGAAGGCAAGTGTGCAGTTCTGTTCTTTCTTTGTTCTAAGAGTATTCCAAAATAAAATGTTTATTAAAAGAAAACATAAGTATCTGTGCATTTGTGAACATACATATTTATACTTGAATACATCAAGATCCCTTGGGTTCTTAAAAAATTCCCCGTCTTTAGATCTCTTGAGTTTGAGGCCAGCCTGGTCTACAAAGTGAGTTCCAGGCCAGAGAAGGTTCTTTGGTGCTAGAGAGATGGCTCAGCAGTTAAGAGCACTGGCTGCTCTTCCAGAGGACAGGGGTTCAATTCCAGCATCCACATGGAAGCTCAGAACTGTCTGTAACTCCAGTTCCAGATCTGACACCCTTACACAGATATACACGCAGGCAAAACACCAATGCACATAAATAATTAAAAAAAAAATATACTCCAGGTGGTTGTGCACGCCTTTAATCCTAGCACTCAGGAGGCAGAGACAGGCGGATCTCTGTGAGTTAGAGACCACCCTGATCTTCAGAGTGAGTTCCAGGATAGGCTCCAAACCTACACAGAGAAACCCTATC